ATTATTTGGTCCATAAAATGGTTGTTGTATAATTTCATTTGGTTTATTATAACGTCACTACAAGGTTAAAAGTTGAGAAATAAACAAATAAATACTAGAGTAACTAAAATATAACTAGACTAATCAAAGGAATTAATTTATAGGATTAAAAAATCTAGATATTGAAATAAGTTTTGAATCTTATATAGTATAACTAAACTTGTTAGATATATACTTATGGATAGATAGGTAGACGACAAACCGCCTAGGGGTTATCGCGCGTTCGCGACGTCATTTATTCCTAAGTAGACGATAACGGGAAATATCGTGGGGATTTATATTTAAAAAGAATGTTCCCCGATTTTTTTTTTCATATTATTTACTTTCCTCCCTCTTATCAGGTCATTAAATTTAAATAAGTAATTGCGGAAAACAAAAGTGACAATTAAATAATAAAGTTGGTACCTATGTCAAAAGAAGACTTCGTATATTATTCATGAAGCGCTGACACTTTGGCTTTAGTCACAGGTTAATTAAAGAGATTAGAGGGTTAGATTAGTGAGCCTCTACGATATGCTAAGTTTAAATATCTCTGCTTCAGTAGATAACCAAGTTAATCTACGTTAGGCACTAACTTCGTCTTGGCCAAATATTCTAGGCTATGGTATAATTTTTGTAATAGACACGCCTGCATTATTATTTTACGCTAGCCAGGTTTGTACCTGGTGTACATACAAGTGAGGAATCACAGTATATGTTTGTATGTTAGACAATAAACTCAATAAATTATTATTTACTATAATTGTAAATATTTATGTCGGCTATACTCACGTTTTAAATTCGGAGTTATCCAACTAGTTTCAGCACTGTGCTGCTTGCGACATAGCCGTGAACCGCGCTCTAGCATTAGGGCTCCTATTGAGTTGGAAACTAGTTGAATCTAATTTAAAACGTGAGTAAAGCCAACACAAATAATTACAATACAGTATGACTCGCGATAGTTATTACTCTATAATGAATATAGATATATTAAATGATATGAAGTTTGTATCTCAACCAATTGTCAAAAAATTTGGTATACCTATATTATCTGAGATGAAGAAAGACATACTTTTATTCTAGTCAATCAATATATAATGTAGGTGATATTTTATAAACTATTTTCTTCTATTTTAATGTAATAACTACTACACGTATGATCTATTTACACGTATGTAATCGAAAAAGCTCGACTAGTTTCGGAATCAATTCGTGATCCTTAGTCATGAGCGACTGTGTAGTATTTTCTTCTATATTTAGATTATCAAAATTAAATTATATGACAATGTGAACAAAGTGACTACACTCTTTATTTAGGACTTGAAACGACTCGTATGTAAGTATGTAATTAAGGCCTAAAAGCATTGTTGCCTTGCCTGATAATGTAATAGAACGATTAATCAAATACAGAGACTTTCGTATAAGATTTCCGCTTCTTCCGACCTTGTTTTCGTGTTAGTAAATGATGTTACACATAAAACAAAGTTATTTTTAGTATCTTTGTACAGATCCTTAAGAGAACGTTACTATGTAGGTGAAAATTATGATATTTTTTTTTTAAAGTTTTCAATTGTAACAATTGTATTTTTTGTCTTTGCTAATTCTAAACTGATTTTGTCGATTTTTTCTTTTCTACTCTCATGTTGGTTCCATACTTAAGATTATGTTATGATCCCCTATGAAAAAGATCCACTTTAATCCTCATGAAATTACTATGGGAACATCTGAGTGTAAACCCCATCGATTACAAAACGAATTATGAAAACCGGTTCAGAATGAGGGACGTAATCGCAGAAGATAAGATTAAAATATGAGATGAATTAAGTAAGTACCTTCCTTTGGAAGTAGCTTAGAATTATAATTTATAAATTGTACTTAACCAAATCATTAAATCAAATTTATTCACAAACCAAAAACCTACTGTTTTAATGTTTGATAGGTACTTTCTTTGTTCCTATTGTTTGGTTATTTCCGTAATTAATGATTATACTGAAGTGCTCATCTGAACAATTTATTCCTTTGTCAATATTGCTAAATTGTATTTACATAATAATTGTACAAAGTTACTATGAATCGGGTCATGATACTTGTGTTTGAAGAAAATAAGTAAAAAAATATATTGACGCGGTGTTATAAAAAAATGGTTGTACGAATTAACGTAATTGTAATATTTTATGTCCCATATGTAATGGTATATGGCCCTATATAATTTTGTATTTATAGTTTCTAGTCTAATTATTTAGTTTAAACAAACTGCTACTACTACAAACACTATTCTTTAACAAAATAATTCTCACATATTTCATTGTACTTTAAGTTGTTACGTTTTACTATCCTTTATGAAAAGAAAAAATAAATCATTAATTTACTCTATGTTGTATCCGTCTTGTTTATGTCTAGCGCAGTCTACCGTCTCTCTCTTGTCGATATCTCTTTCTCTGTCATGCGTATCAATAAAAGAAATTCGTGATTACTAATTAATATCTATTATAAATATCAATCAACCCCCGCGCAAGATCCCCCAATATACGAAACTAGATTACATATTCTAAATAGTCCATTTAATAATATAAAACAATTAAGTATAAGATATATTACCGATGAGTGAATTGATCCATAGATTTATAATCCAGCTTTGAGAAAGATTTCACTCAAGCATGCATTATACATTAATGAACTCAGATATGAATGGTTCGATTTTCGAATACAATCAAGAATAAATAGTTTTCTTATACTATAGTATAATCATTATTAAATGTATAAAATAGCTGTATACAGCTATTTTATAAATTTAATTAATGATTAATAACTTACTTGAGTTGAATTTACATATTTCTTGTTGCTTGCTCCTAAAAATAAAGATCGCATTTTTAACTTTTCCAACGCCATAAAAATAACTTTTTATACTGAGGGTTGCCAGGCGTGATTGATTACCTATGTAATTATTATTTTAAAATAAGTCAGTCATACTCCACACTGTGAAGCGGACACTTCATAAACTAAGGCTGCGTGGGCGAGCGATGATTTTAGCATTATTGTTTATTATATTTTTTACAGTTGTTAACGTTCCTCAGAAGAGCGTTACAATTTGGGCACTCTCTCGTGTCACATCATCGCAGGCACTCATTTCATGCATTACTAATTTTAAGCCACGACTTCATCAACATGACTTCCATATATTGACTGAACTGGATACAAATTAGCTTACGTCTTTCTTTATTCCAAATACTATACTATATTTTTTTTTTATTTATTTATTTAAAACAACTTGGTTAAATTTTTGTTAGTAAGTGTACTTAAAAACTATGTTAATACTTAATTACTAATAGCGATCTAGTCCTTTCAGCAAACATTCTCACGAGAGGACGACCTAATTTATTCACAGACATGTTCGGGATACTGTTGCCACTCCCGCGTATTCTGTCTAAGAACGAAGCTGTCTTTTTACACCATACTGTGTCAAAAGCATCTATACGAGCTTTGGCAAACATCGCTGAGACGCTACAGAAGCGCGGGAGCCGCAACAGTAACCTAAAATTATTATTAAATTGAATACGCAAGGCATTGTAGGCCCTCTGGGTATAACGAAACCACAGACTCGCCGAATACAACGATGTTCAACAATACGCTTTAAATAGTGTTATTTTCACTGTATCTGTACATCGCGCGAATTGGTGGGCCAGTATATTGGCGCGGACCGACAGAGTCCTGCGTTCCCTCTCCATATCTACATCTTCCCTAAGGCTATATATGAGAAATAAATTTTATTTTACATATATTATAGTATTAACTATATAGTATATATTTGAGAAAATTTAATTGAGTAATTAAAATACCAACAGGTTACGAAAAACAGGAAACTCAATTTCAAGTATATTATATTGATAAGAGATTGGGATTTACTGCGTCAATTGCAAATTTTTCTTCCATTGATCTTTATCAACCTTTACATTTAGACTCACTCCACTCTTCTGCATGTCACCTTCCACCGTTCATCCATCTTCATTTAGTCATTTTCGTTCGTAGGTATTCCCATTATAAACATAGAAATAAACTATCCACATTCTTGTACTATAACTACCAAAAGTTTTCTTGCCTATTGTACTTGTTTGAAATTCGAAAGTTATTCCAGAAAAACAAATAATCGTTGAAATGAAATGTGTTTAACGAGGCATAAAGCAACGTAATAAAAAAAACTAAAGTTTAGAACAACTTTCAATCAACAATGAGTGTAAATAGCGCCGTCAACAGCGAACGAACGAATGAAATGAACGGCACCGACCTTGACACACCTGAGCAACGGTAAATCATTTTAATTAAAGCTGGAAATTCATATTTGCCTGAAAAGGGTTCAAACTTAAATTCCCGTGCCGTTGAAGGAGCACTTGGTGCGACCCAGTAACCCGACTCTGACTGAAATGCGAGTAAAGCCTTTTATTAATAAGTATGTGAATTTGCAAAACATATTCGTTTGCTTAATTTTTCATTTAATCTTATTTTATATTTGCGAGATAAGACACTAGCTTTTACCCGTGACTTCGTTGATATGACCGGAATATGTTGATTAACTGGAATAAACAGTTTTTTTAATGGATGAAACTGAAATGGTAACCTCACCTGCGCTATCAATATACGCTGGTGGGGCACCAGTGATAGATGATAGGTGAAGATTTAGGCAGGTCAGGTGGCACATCGTGAAGAATTGGACATGAATGAAGTCGATGATTTCCAGGGGGAAACGCGTGGAGTTAGACCTAATAAGGTATATTACTAGCAATGGGGCTGTTAGAACCCAATACTAACAATCCCTATCCTCCCGGGATAAATAATAGTCTATGTCTTTCTCCATCTTTTATAGTATATATATTATATACTTATCCACTAAATTTTATGACAGTTGAGTTGTGAAGGCACGAAGAAGTAACAAACAAACTCACTTTCACTTTTATGATATTGTAAGGATTGCTATAAAAGTTTTAGCACCCGCTTCTCTTTGCTACTCCAAAAGGGACCTGTCGAAAAGACAAATTAATTAAAAAATGATACTATTTAAATAAAAATAATTGGTTAGTATTTTTTTTTTAGATAAGAAAAGCAGTTACAATATATGTTCAAAGATATTCGAGCTTTTTTATTAACTCTTATTTACGTTTACTTAAAGAAAATCAATCAATTAATTGAAATATAAATAAATACATATTCACCTGTCTATCTGTATAGACTAAGTTTAAAAACAACTATTACTTCGTTACTATACATACTTACTATAAACAACTTAATTCGCATGAGAGTTTATTCTGCGTAAGTTAAAATATAAAATTACATTATACTCATTAAAAATTGTCGGTCCATTTAAGTCCACGACAGCGTATTTTATATTTATATTTAAGCCACAAAAACTGCCTACATTTGGTTACAATCATGAAAAATATTTTCATAATATTTGCTCTGGTTTATTTAATCCAAAATGTAATTTTACCTACCACCATAATCATTTTGCTCAGAAATATAGAACTTCACAAAGTGGGAACGAGACAATAAGAGAAAAAATAAAAAAAATATTGATAAATGGATGACAATGCTACTTACGTACGTTGCTATAGCAATTTACCCAATTACCTACAATCCAATCTACAGAATAATACTCATAATAAATATGTACTCGTATTATATTTGTAAGGATAATTTATCCTTGTGAATTATTGCTATGAATTACGAAACCATAATACCTACATAAATAAGCCCACAGAAAATTACATTTGGGGTTGAATTTTCAAAATTTCTTTCACAAACCTACACCTACATATATTTATCTACAAAATTTCAAGATTCTGGATTCAACGTATTCGGCTGTGCGTTGATGTATGGGCCAATCAGTCTATATACATATATAAAAGATGTATAGACAATATATTATATGAAACTAAAAATTTCAACCAAAGAACCATTCACTAGTACAAGTAACATCCAGCTATCAAATAAATATAAACGTGAACCGGAGACTCTTGTAGCGTCTGGACTATTGAAAAAATCCTGCAATTAATTGTAGTTATTATAAATATGAAATTTGTGATAGTCATCGTCTCTACTTACTTTTTGTTTTAAGACAACTTTTGTTGGAAAAAAAGCAATGGCTGAATTTCTTGCTTATTTTTCTCTGCGGTAATTTTATTCTGAATTGGGCGGTAGATTTACAAAAAAAAAAACTTCAGATATATTTATAATTAAGTTTACTTAAATAAGATTTATTTTTTGAAGTTTCTTCGCCCATAGTTCTTAAGAAAATATTCAGTTTCATTTATAGAGGTAGAATACTCACTTAAAAGGATACCAATGATTCTGATTTTACCTAATATAAATTTTCTTTTACATAATTATATTCATTGTATTTTGAATAATTCAAGGTGATTTAAACGAACCTACTGTATACCTATTGTGTCCGTTTTCTCAAGGGTCCGTCCCTCGCCATTTTGCATAAAAACTCCTCCATTATAAAAAAAAAGGAAGAAAAATCTTTTCGTCCATTTTATTTTTTAATGGAAAGTACTGAAAGTGGGGACTTTTCAGATGATTTAGATGCTGAACTAATGCGTGCGTGATGTAACGCTAAAAGCATACAAGACCGGCTTACAACTTTATTCTATAGAAACCGTCCAACGAAATATAAAGCATCTGAACCGTGTTGACATGAAGGATAAATGAGAGAGATTAAAAATAAAATCTGTAATAAGAAATAGTTTCATAGTGCATAATAAATTTGTCTACTTTGTCGGTAATTGCTGCTATTACTGTTACGTTACAATCAGCATATTGATGGACAAGTCAAATAAAGAAAGAAAATATTTATTAGTTTGGCACCATATGTACATGAAGAACACATGTATTTATTGAGTCACTAATAAAGATGTCATAAATATTATCTCGCAACATGTCAAAATTATGTGGTCACATGTATGATAGCATAGAATGGGCTAATCCTTACTTTCCCGTGTGTGTCGTAACAGGCAACTAAGGGAACTTAATGTGCGAGGGATGGGCAGCAGCATCTCTCTTTAAACATCACCTAAGCCTAACTGCGATTGCCAACTCGCCTGCCGTGCGTAGCAACAACTGGCAAAACCTCTCAATAGAGAGAGACTTACGTTTAGCAGTAGACTTTTAACAGCTGATATGATGATATATCAAAATAATAAATAATAAAGTCGCTGACCACCTATTATTTTCTCTGCTTACTTCTTTTAAACTATGCAACGGATTTTAGTACAGATCACTATAATTTGAATATTATTTGTGGGAGCTTTGATTGTATACTTTGCAATCAAGTGATAGCGGCTTGACAGATATTATAAACTTACTGTACTTATACAATTGTATCGTTGTATTTGTAAATTGCCTTGATTATTTCCTATATTGTATAATGCAAATAAAGTATACTCATTCGTTCATATAAATCATATTTGTTCATGTGTATTCTGATATAAATTTATAAGTTCAAGAATAATATAAGAGAAAGTTTGGAAGTAGCGCCAGTAATAGAGAAGTTGAGAAGTAGTCATTTGTCGTGATATAGGTATGCGCAGGGAAGAAGAAAATATGGTAAGAAAGGTATTATCTATGAATGTAGTTATAAGTGCAGAGAAAGACCCAGAAATAGATAAATGGACTATGTGAAAGATAACATGCCCAGAAAGGTAAGAACTGGTGTAGTGAAATGATTGCAAATAGAGTATGTAAATGAATTGAAGAAGTAAACATGCTACTCGTAATCCAAAGAAATATTGAAATCTCTTTTAGAGATAAGCCTGCCCTTGCTGACTAGCTGTTAAACTAATCGCTGTATCTTTATTTACAAGTGCACTAAAGAATATACATATAAATTGTATTTATGTTCATATGTTGCCAATAAATATTTTATTTCATTATTTGACTTGCCAATATTTGGCTGAGCATATTGAATCAACGTGGAATGAGGCGAGCATACTCTTGTAATTAGCTTACATAGACAGCTACTGATGTTGACAAGATTAATATATAGTAATGTTATGAAACTATTCTTACGAATATTACTAATTGCTAGTAAAAGGAAATGCTGATTTAAGATATAGTGATATAATTTAATGCTCACTACATCTTTAAACACTTCAAACAGTAAATGATAAATAAAACACTACAATAGAACAGAGAAAGATATAAAAATACAAATTATATATATAATAAAAGAAATAAAAAATAATTTTTATATCAATTTGTAATTGTTTGTTAAAATCTAGGTAAGTCTCTAATCATAAATACAAATGTTTAACTTTAAAAGAGTTTGTGGTTGAATAGAACTCCATTGCTTTTATAAAAACTGTAAAAATATTGATATTGTATACTTATTTACTATTGGGAATTCTCCCTAGGGAGTTCCATCTAGAGAAATTCTGACAAGGCTATTCTTTCTACGAATAGCAATAGCTATTATACAGAAATGTCTTTCTTTGGCGATGTTTCAGTTCTTTGTATACTTGATATTTATAAAACAATAAAACGATACTGAAGAAAATTATTTAAATTTTCTTTTTGCATTTTAAGACTGAACTGAATAAAAATTTTGCCATTTTGAAAGACCATTTTTCTAACTTTAAAATAATTCAATTCAGTTGTTTTCATCTGAGACTCGGATAAAATAAATAGACAAAAAATTCATTAAAAAAAACATAGGTATGCAGTAATATTATCTTTTTTCTACAACTTGAGAGTATCGTGGACATTCTTTTAGAATTTTGTTTACCTGTATTTTATCTACACTATTATGTCTATAGGTAAAATCTAAAGGCCTCGAACGAATCATGAGTACCGACAGTGTTCGAAGATTTGTTAAACTAATTATGGCGTATTGTAAACTCTTCAGTTTCGGCCAATTTAATTTACAAGGAGTTATTCGGTTGCCCATGAATGAGTTGAAGAACTTTTCTGTGATAATTGGCACTCCATTGGATGCTATTGTGGAAAGTTTTCTGATCGATTTCATCTATTCTTAGAAGCGCAAGAACTTCGTATAGAAGCTTAGTAAATAAATATAAACTACCGTCACTTTTATAAGTAACGACAAAAATATTTTAAATTTATTATTTTTTAATGAGTCAAACCTTTTTTTCTATTAGCGTGTCAAAAATTTTAGAGATTTTTTTATGTTCCTTAATCTCTAAAGTTTTACAGAGACCATCTCAAATATATGTAAATAGTCAATAAATATATTCATGCACGTAACTCAAGACCGTTCTTTATGCCAATCTATGGAGAAGAACTATGCAATTCAGCAGTGGACAGTTGATGACTGAAATTATGATCAAAGTTTTGTCTAATATTAGTAGATATGCCCACTTACTTTTGATTTTAATCTTACATTGTTTATTGTTTTTATTGTAACTGATAAACATAATATTAAACTAATCTTTTTTATATTTACAGGTTTCGCTTAAAGGATATTTCAAGAATCTAAGTGACTTTAGATTTCATATAAAATAGTGAAATAAATGAACAAGAAGTAAACAAAGTTTGTCAGTGTGATGTCAGTGCAAAATAACGTGATTGGTGCTAAAATGCAATGGGCCGGCGGGGGGTGGGGGACGAACCAATTGACTGTCAGTTTGATTTATTGCATTTTATAAACAGCTTATAATATAGTTGGACGTCTCAACACAACAAAATGTCGGCAGGTAATGTATAAAATTTTATATATTATTTTAAATTCAATACGTGTATACTATCTCAAAAATTTAAGAAAAGTACATTAACGTGAAGATTATACGAAAACAAAATGAACTTATTAAATAGTTTATTAATACAATTTATATTTTATTATTTACACATAAGATACAATTTCGTATTACATGAATTTAAATTGAACCATAAAACGTGTAATAAATAATAAATAAAACAACACGCCAGTAAATGACATTATTAATATGATACAAATAAAGTATATTTTCTCTCTCGTTCTCTTGTTATTTAATCAATTAATTAAATATTTACATTCTATTAAGTTTAACTTTTTGTTGTTTTGCAAACTATATAGTAGAATTTTTTGTTTATTTTGTAATTAAAGTAAAATTAAACAAAAGATATGTTCAATTCGATATGATTCTAATATTTCACACTTTTATTCCTAATAATCTTCAGATGTTTTACAGGCACAAATTTGTTGTTTTAAGAATAATGTATCTAAAGTTACTTTAAGTGCTACTGTGTCTTCTAATTCACTGAAAAACTTTTGCGTGCAACGCAACAGTTTTCATCAAAGGCACACGGAATACAAATAAGGGTGAAATTGGTAAGGGGATTTTACAATCCCGTAGGTAGTAACCGAAGTTTATACACCTAGGTCGTTTAATAAACTGTAAATAGACCGCACTCACAATGGACAGAGATCTAATAAAACCATCCTGTACAACGCACCCTTCTAACCTTTCTCCATTCATGTTCGCCCGCGAGATCATAAAATCAGCTTCTATCTCATCAAACTGCGGTGTTCAATTTCCGAAAAAAAAGCTATTTATTAGGTACCTACTAGCCGTACATAACATAATGTGACTTCTTATTGACATTCTTTGTTTAAAAATATTCGTGCTCGAAATTCAAATAAAGGACGTTAAAAAAATCCTTCTTACGTTTATTATATATTATATAATTATAATACTTTTTTTTATAAAAAAAATAGATATAAATGCACTTATACAGTATTTAAAGAGGGCTAGGTCCTATTTATAGATATACTACACAAGTATTTTGTAACTTTCTGATCTTTTTCTTGTATTTTTATTAATGGATATTTTGCATTGGTTCCATCGTAGATCTAATTTATGCTGGCCATTAAATATCATAAGTAATAATAAACAAATAATATAGTTTTTAAAATAATAAATACTGTTTGAAATATTACATACGGATTACCAGTCTTAAATTAATACACTCTTTTTGAAGAACCCATATTGTAATCTGTAGAAAAAACCTCAGTAGACAGATCCTTCCACATTCTTAGCGTTTGCGTGAGGAAACTCATCTAAAACCGCACCGCACGCGAGCCAATATATAGATAGATATTATATAACACAGAGTATTAATAGCGTTATAAAACATAATATCAAAAGCGACGACTGTCCAAGCAAAAATAATAAAGTCAATTAACAATTACAGCAGGGTCAGCGGTGGCGATGATAGGCGCGAACCTGCGCTTCGGTTCGGCTGGTGCTAGTAATTCGTCAATCCTCAACAACACGAGGCATTGCCCGCCAGGGGGTGCTGCGAGCGCCGCAGCACTGCTCGCGCTATCAGGTCTGGGGATGTCCGCAAACTTGGCACTAATGACTGTTATATTAAGCAAGAAACAATTAAGAAGGTAAGTATCGTCGTTATCATCCATAATTTTTTTCGATTTTAATGTTAGGATAAGAATACTAAATTATTTGATGTACTTAACTTTAACTCAACCTATTAGATCTAAAAGGAGAGGATTGTTATTTATGAAGACTTGTAGTTACATCGTTAAAAACATACTTTGCATGGACTCGATTTGGCTGACAATTTAAATAACTCATACTATTTGTTATTTTGTATTGACACAAATTTATAATTACAAAATCTTTTGTTGAAAAAAGCAACAGTTTAGTTTCTTTCCCATTCTTCTCAGATGAAATTGCATTTCGAATGACTAGTGTAATTATTAAAGAATGGATATTAAAAAATACCTGTAATTTAATTTATTTCAATAAATAATATTCTTATTCTTGTCAAATTCGCCTTCACGTGAATATTTTTGGAAACCATTGTATTTACTTCCTGCATTATTCGGTACAATGAGTCGACTAACCTGGCTTCATCTTCACCAACCATTCCGTATTACCCTACTATGGAAACTCATAGCGCAGTTAGGGTACCTTTAAGTCTGACTACCTCATCAAGAATTAAATGTAATATATATATATATATATATATATATATATATATATATATATATATATATATATATATCAGGGTCAGATAGGGACATTATTTATTTTTGCTTTTGTGTTCTGGTATGAAAGATTTTAAAATATGTTTTTTATTTAAACATTAGGAATAGGTCATTTATTGTTATAGGTATTTCTATTACTAACTTTTACTCACAACTTTGGCTGCGTAACTGACCATACTGGTCAGTTACGCAGCCAAAGTTAAAAAATAGTCTATGTCATCTCCATCCTATATTACTTACTATATGAGATGGAGAAGGCATGGGCTATTTTTATGTACCAAATTTTATAGTGATTTATTAGCCATTAAGATTCTAGAGATAAAAAACAAACACTCATATTTATAAAATTACTAAGGACACAAAGCTTGACTGTAAATTCAACATATGCGTATGTCAACTGGTGCGAAAATAAAAACGATCCATATTTTTATTCACGAGTCGTCGATGTGTGAATGAAGCCTTACACATAAAATAGGAATAGGGTTGTAATATTTGATAGCACGTTACAGCGTCATAAACTGTTCGCTAAGTAACGCGTATAGATGAAACACCGACGGATTGATCACGAACGTATTCTGGATCACGGATTATATTAAAGAAGCTGGTTACTCATCATGACATTGGTTTCTTACATAAGTGTGTACTACGCCTTATATATAATACTTACTTATTATAAATTGTAATAAAAATAGATATTTATTTTTAATTTGATAGTTATAATACGCGGTTATATCGCCAATTCTAAAGCGAAATTTTTGAAATTTATAATGTTTATTCCTGTATTAGTTTCATTATTCATTTTGCGACGATCTAGCTACTATTTTTAAAAGTCAATTTTGTTTTTTACTTATACTTTTTTGCACACACTAATAATACATAAAAAATATGACAGAAGTAAGTAAATGAACAAAAGCGAACCTAACTCTGAAAGAGTTCTCTTCCAGCAAACCCGAAGTGATAAGGAGCACCGATGTCATCGTATAGACCGGTATACAATACAATATATTTTTAAATCAAGTATATACTATCTAATGTGTCTACAAATCACCTAGACGTTTATTCATGATATGAAAGATTTTTTTTGAGTGGGAGTAAAAATGTCGAATCATGTCTAATTTATAAATCGAAAGTATTTTATACTCGTTAAAAATATTTATTTCATGTTATCGCATTGAAAATATGTTTTTACTATTTATTTATTTTATTTGAAACAGTTACAGATTTCTTTACATTTGTCTAATGTACTTTAATAATAATTTAACAAGCCAAAATACTATACAAATTATAAGCAAATGCAATGATTACAGACGTTACATTTAATAAGTAAATTATATAAATATAAGGGGAGCACTGACCGCATATTTTATAACAAATTAAAAATTATAATTAATTCTATATCATATGACATAGGAGAATATATATGTAATAATTCGATCATGTGTGCCTGTTTTTTTATAAAAGTTTACATATGTTGTAAAAGCAAAGGCTTTAATTCTATATTTATCTTTGCCTAGAATAAAGGTTACGGTATATGCATTTTATGGGCACTAATTTGCCGGTGTTTCACATATGTTACCATACCGACCATAAATTTATGGCATTTGGCCAAATTACATGGATTTTGCAGATAATATACCTAATAATAATTATATGTATTGAAAATTTGATATATTTAGTAGTTGGACTTTAGAACGTTGTACTTAATTAAATCCCTTACAACATTACCTCACCTTAACGATCATTAACGTCCCACTATCGGGTAGTTCCTCTCCTGAAGAGAAAAATCTAACCTACTAGTGTATTTGTACAAATATAACTAATTTTTGTTCAAACTTAACCATAAGTGTTTTTTTTTTAATAATCACCTTTTATATGATACTTCAAACTAACTTAACCTGTGCTCCCTTTCTGGAGATGAAGAACAGTTACGCATTGCATTCAACCTTTGTTCTTTAAAATAAATAATTTAAAATTAGAACAAAAGAAACGACTGGCCACAATAAAGTGGCCAGTCTTTATAATTTATAAAATAAACTACAGAAACCGGTTTTAGTAAAAATTTCTATAGTACAAATCTGAAAGTATATTTTTTCAGACAAAAAATAATTTTCTAAATTGGTATATAACTGATAGAGTTATGAGGTAATAAACATAAAAAAATACAAGAGAATTGAAAACTTCCATTTTTTAAACAAATACAAGAAATCGATAGGAGTTATGTATATTAAATATCAAGAAATCTTTAGATATAATCTTGTAAACCCAAAAAGCAAATTGAGTTTCGACTGACTGACATTTTGAGAAGGGTATAGTGCTTGGTTATAAATTTAATAAACCATCTAACATTGGCCCTCTTTAAAGCGTAATTTAATTTAAATTTTCCACGGAAATTATTCCATTTTTAAATTTAAAACTATTATTTTATTCATGTTTTTAAATTACAGTGGAAAGAGGAATGTTAATTATTTCACCGAACTGAGAACCTTCTTCTTTTTGAAGTCTGTTGATAATTAAATGAAAACATTTCCAATTTTTTTTCCATATCTATATATTATTTATATATATTTTTATGTGATATTAAAAGTACTATAGTATAATATATATAGCCATTATATAATTTGTTGTTCTCTTTGCAGTGTTGTCGGTTTTAATCCCAATGGTACATTTTAGAGACCATGAAACTGCGTAACTTTTTCCTACGCCTTCCAAAAATGTATACAAATAAAGTAATTTGGTCTTATGAACTAAATCATCACTTAACAAGTTTAGTAGTATTTGTTTTCTACATAAATCGTAGGCTGCGATATAGGACTGATTATTCGATGTAATTATAATTATATCTAATGATACATTTAATATAAGAGGAATGTCGTAACATATTTGAAATTAGATATTTCACATTAGTCAGCTCATATCTATATAATAATACGTAATGCAATCAAGAGGTTTGTCTCAATATAGTATGTAATTATTGTTTGATTGTACGTAAATACATATGCTGTAGAAGGACAAGTATTTGCTGTAATACGAATAATTAGTAATACAGTGAGATTGTCCTGACATATCTATATTATTAGAACTACTCGTATCAAAGTAAAATGGAAATCAATTTCAAAGAAAATTACAAAGATAAAAGATACAAATAAAAGTGTTTGCTTCTATGTATAAATAACGTATTAAATTTATCTTTAGTTCCTTTTTTCACCCTTTTTTGTTTTATTATTTTTCTGTTACGCCTTGACCAGGCACAATTTTAATTATTCCTCTTTATCTTAAGGTTACCTGGAGGAGATCGCTATTTAGTGATAATTGTAGCCTCTTTATCTTGCTTTTATGTAATCAATTATTTGTTTTGTTTGTGTACTTATTGTTAATCTTTATAAATAATGTGCATCATTCATTGAAGAGTTTTCATTCATTCAATCATCTCATTCTGTTCTTGTTGCGGAATATACGAGTACTATATTTACCAAATTTCAAACGATTATGTAGTGATAATGGCAAATCATTTAAGAGGAGAATGACTTGAAAGACAAATGATGTGCACTGCAAACTAGTACTGATGCTGGTAGTTTCCCAATGTTATAATCATCATTATATCGCATGTTAACTGTTCACAGTATTTGCCAGGCTTGGCAGGCGGATTGGCAACCGCAGTTAGGCTTTTGGTGGTATTTTAAGGAATGCTGCTACCCATCCCTGGACCATTGAATTCTCTTAGTTGCCTCTTACGTCATTCACGGGAAAGGAAGGGGTGGCCTATTCTATGCCGTGACCACGCGGCCAATGATATAATGAATAGTAGCTATTTATAGTTTATTTTTCTTCAATACATAATTGTATAAGGCGAAATACTGCTAAAAGCATTCTGTCTCATTTTATTGTATCGACTTCGCAGTATATATTAAAATTTTGGGATATTCAATTTTATTGTAATTTATTGTGATTAATTACGACGATTTCCAAGGAGGACCGCATAAAGTTCTAACTAATAGAATGTACTCACATTATGCAAAATATACAGACATACCTACTTACATTACCCTCTTCCTTCGGCAGTCTCGTCTAGTCTATTTAAAAGAGTTACAAGTAGATACGAGTCGTATTTTAGATTTTACTATTTTTGTCTTATAACCTGGGGTCTGTCATTAGATATGTATAGGTCCAAAGTGGAACAGACGCCTACTTCGATGTATTTCAGTTTCACAGACGTGTATCTGAACATTTTTAGTCTCTCTGCTGACAGTGCCGATGTCGACAACCGTATCGATATGTAAGATCACATAATCCAAACAAAAAAAATTATAGAGCTAAAGTTCGTACAAAAGTAGTTTTTTTATACAACTTAGAATGGCAAACAAGCTGACAGCCCACCTGATGGAAAGTGGTAACCGTCGCCTGTAAACATGAGCAGTATCAAAGACATAACAGAGTAGACTGTTTCGCCCATTATACCCCCCATGCGTTGCCATTCCTGAGGACTCAGATGTTATTCCTCTGTACCCTATAAATTTACACCATATCCCATCCTTCAAACCATAACACAGCTATGCAAACACAACTGCTTCACGGTAGAAACACGAATGGGACAGAGGTACCCAAGCAATCGACTTATGTACAAAGTCTCCCTCTGGTAAAGTAGTTTGTTTCTTTGTTTGATTGTAACATTTTATTGTACAGTAAAGTCTTAAATTATAGGAAACAGGGTTCTTAAGAAAAGAATGAGTACAATGACGGACTTATCCCAGGAAAGAAATTTCTTCCAGTCAACATTTAAATGTCTAATAGAAATTGTGAATTGGTAGAGATAAAAAAAAAGATTTAATTAAAAAAAATATAAAAATAATAGGTATTACAGTTACAACACGATCACAACATTGATAGTGGACAACACAACACATCTAAATGATACCTAATATATCTAAAATGATTATATTTCTATGCATAATACTTCTAATAATATATTGCATAATATTCTAAATAAAAAGGTTCTTGGTTACTTTTGTCCCATTTGTTCCTACTGTAAAACAGCTGTGCTTGCAAGCCTATGTTACGATTTGATGGGTGGCATATGACATTGAAATTTCAAAATAAAAAGAAGAATTTGATTTAAAAATGCAGCATGTCTTCATTTATATAAATTGGTTGTCTTATTTTATTTATTTATTAATACGCCAATAACTTCAACATTAAAACTCAGAACTACAGATATAAGAAGAAAAAACATGTATAAATATATAAACTAATTATAGGCAGTTATCACTTTCTAGTATAACAGTTTTTTTGTCACAATTTTTTAAAACTTACCTATAATCTATACATACATACATAAGATCTTATTCATTCATAATGCCACGATTTCTATGTACGTAGGTTTCTAGTACTAGTACAGTTTAATTTATTTTGTTACGGATTTCTACACTAGATAAATAACAACTACACATACACCATAAAATAGACCAAGGAATTACCAGTGCACAATTTAATAAAACCATATTAGTATAAAAATGTTTTATAGTAAAAAATTAAGAAATTTGCGTCGAATGCGATGAAGCTAGAGACTGAGTCTCCGTAAATTACATGAATATATATTACGTAAATTATGTAAATTATATGAACCGTTGTCTTATATGAATAACCGAATGAAAATGTTGCCATATGTAATAATGTTTTACAACCAAATTGGGAATTATAAGTGTGATCACTTCGTGTATTGTCATTGTCGCGTCATATATGTATAAAATCGCTGTGTGTGTCCCAGCATAGAATGGGCCACCCCTTCTTTCCCATGGTTACTCTAAGAGGCGACTAAGGGAGCTTATTGTAGAGGGATGGGCAGCAGCGTTTCTCTTAAAACACCACCAAAAAACCAAACTGCGTTTGCCAACCTGCCTGCCAAGCATGGTAACTACTGGCTACCCCCCCTCCCCTCTTTACGGGGGAGGCTATGATCAGCAGTGGATAGTTAACGACTGGTAAAACAACATAACATACTATACGGCATGGAGGACTATTTTTACCGATCAGTGAACATATCCAACAAAGTCGCGGGTAAAAGCTAGTGCTTTATAAATAAACTTTTATCTGCATCATGGAGGATGAAATAACGTACGCTGTTACCGAGTTTGAGTGGTAATAACTTTACACATTGTAACAGTCTTCCTTAATGTCGTGTTACTACAGCTTTGTGGGATACGTGTTTACAAATAATATCGTAAGATCTCAATAATGGCCAATAAACTATCTAAATGGATACCGAGGCGGAAATTATGGTGCCTATGGGATGTGAGATTCTCTTATCCATATGAATACATGCTTATGTATTAGTTTCTTCTATGTCTCTAGAGTTCCTTTTTAAACGGTCTCGAAAAGAAGGAGTTCCTTAATTCGTATTTATTTTTATCTATATGTTACTGTAAATGTTCGTTGATTGATAATTCTTAGATTTTATCAGTAAATTCTAGAATTTGCCAACATGAGTTGGTAAATGTAAGAAATTTATATAAAAAAAGATATTTTTTCAGGACTTTCATCAAACTAAACCTAACCTACTCGTACCTTTCTCGTATTCGCAATACGAGCACCACGCACTAAATATGTCTAAATTTTATGTCTATTTTTTATATTTACCACGTTTTATTATGTATATTTACATGAATAGAAAATATTTGATTTACTATAATGCGGGTTTTACAGTAACGTACATATTATATCGCTTATATAATAATTATTTATTTTCACTTTATTCCACCATTTATAATTTTATAAATAATATTATTTAAAATATTTGTAATTTATTCTATGTAGTATATGTTTGTTTTTTTTTTTTCAGTAACAAAATTTCTTTGTAAAAACACGATTTTACGTATTGTAAGTTAAAATTTTTGTCAAAACATTGTTTTTTTTTTACAACGTGTAATTTATTTGGTTTATTAATTAACTTTATTTTAAAGTGCGTATTTTGAGTTTTAAAAAATTACTTGATATTACATGTATACAGCAACAAACATAAACACAAAGGATAGTATTCAATTTATATATTTTTTAAGAAATAAACTGTTTAACGATAGCTACGGAAATGTACACTAGATTTAATTCTTGTATTTTATGTCTTACTAGATAAAAAAAAAAAACCTATTATTTTTCCAAAGTAATATATTCAACATGCAGAGCCGACTATAGTTTTTGTAGCATTTCATCCAAACGCGAAGACGCGGATTGATAAATTGCTTGCCGATAAAGAATTTATATATTTTCTTCTCCAATGTTTGGCAGAATGAATAATTGGCGTCCATGACATTTATCAAAATGTACAGCTTTTCTATTTGCAATACAACAATATCTTGCTCAGTTTATAGGAATGATATCGTTTTATTCTTGAAAAAACTTACTTGAGAACTGACAGGTTCTTTAAATTAAAAAAAAAAAAAACAAAAAATTTACACCTTATTTGATGAAACATAGCAACTGTCGCCTATTTATGTGAACAGCACCATGGACACTACAGAATACAATGTAGTGCTCATAATATATACATAACATATAACACTAATATAAAAATAATAATGTTACCATTCCTGAGAACTATGGTGTTTTTTAATGGATAATAATGAAATGGTTACCCCGCCTGCGCTACCGATATATACTAACCAGTACCAGTGAGGGATGATAGATGATGATGAAGCAGATTAGGTGGCCGACCACGACGAATTCAACTATAAATCAATCACGATGGTTTCCAATAGGAACCGCGTGGAGGTCGACCTAATAGGCTACATTGCTAGCCATGGGATTGCTAATCTCCATTACTAACAATCCCTTTTCTCCCCGAACTATGGGGTTATGTCCCTACCTTGTAATTTCATTGCATTATGCCTTCAAACTGAAACTGCCCTTCAAACTGAAACACAACCATTCAAGCAGAGATACTTCACGGTAGACTTTTATACTTAGTCTCCCTCTGGTGAAGTTAAATATAAATATTCACAAGCTTGAAAAGATCGTGATCATGCCCTCTATTCCTTTGATCTGTGTTTCAAATTAATTAAACCCTACGGTTAAATTCATCAAAGTTACCGTTTAATTAGCTTTACGGTAAAATTAATTACAGTTACGGGTCAAATTATTTAAAGTAATAATTATAGGTAGTTACGGTTTATTTAATTAAAATTACGCTGGTTTTTTTTTTATAAATGATACAACACCATCATCAGGTCTTAGTGAAAAATATATTCCATAAAACTCGTGGCACTTTTAAATAGAGAAAACACAGATACTTTTAAATAGAGAAAAAAAATTATCATCATTCATTATATAAAAGTCATTATCATCATTATTTCAACCATTTAATGAATGTGTATACTTTATTTGCATTATACAATATAGGAAATAAACAAGGCAATTTACAAACTCAACGATATAATTGTATAAGTACAGTAAGGCGGTCTTATTGCTGAAAGCAATCTTTTCAAGACAATCTTATTAAATCAATTATGGGGTTTAGTTATGACAGGTATATTCCTATATATTTATTTATTTATTCTTAAAAGTATACAAATATGAATACAAGTAAGGCGGATTTAATTTTAAGAACAATCTCTTTCAGTTAACTTTTTTGGAAGTGATTGTTATTTTTAAACATAAAAATCTAATAGTAACCCCATTTAAATACAGAATACAACGACTAGCGAGAGATGATAGGTGAGAGTAAAAACAAGTCAGTCGGCTCATTATGAGGAATTCACCAGGTATTAAATACGATGGGTTCCAAGGGGAACCCGTGAAAGTTGATATACCCAATAAGGCCTCTAGATCCCATTACTGGCAATCCGTTCCCCATCGATGCGATTGAGTAATATTTTCTTATGATACCTACTTTAAATAACAATCAAGCTGACAACGTACCTGATAACCATTAGGTTGTGACACAAAGTAAATATGAATAGCAGCGTGAATATCACTGTGCTACTTATGGCTCTTCCGTTGCTATTTCTAAGGAGTATGGTATTATGCATTTGTCACCTCCTTCAAACTGCAGTACCCTACAATCACAACTGCTTTTCGAGGAAAACACGAGTAGGACAAACATACAATCTCTTCCTCTGGCAAAAAGATATACCTACTGAAGCTAACATTTTTTATGCACAGGTGGTCACATGGTCTGTTGTTCCATCAAGCGATAGTGGACTGCGCCCGCGCAGCTATACTCCTACCTTTAGGTATTGCAGTGTTCCGGTGCCAACCGGTCTACAAGTGTTCACTCGTGGAAACAGCATTTCTTTTATTGGTATGTAATTTATATACTCTGATATCTTTCGAGCGATACTTTTTTCGAATATAATACTGGTAAAATTCAAATAATTAGTACATCATAACATGTATAGGTATATAATTTTTTTCAAAAAAACTATTTTTTTTAAATATGTATCGGAAATAGCTCAATATATTTTCATTCGTTATTATTAAATTACCAGTTGTATTTTCTATTGATATCAATATTTCGCTAATTTTATTAATCTGAACTAACTAATATTACATCTATCTAAATCGATATGTTTTGTAATTGCACATTCTGTATCAATATTCTATGCACATATACGTCTGTTTTATGTACAGTAAAGAGTTTATTGTGTTATGTTATCTGTAGGGCTTTCATTTTCCAGGAATAAAAATTCCATCAGCTTGTTTACCATTCCAAGTTGTATAGAAACATAATAATTAAATAACAAATTGTTAGAGCCATTTACGAGACCTACAAAAATGTAATGTAGTATTCAGTGGAACAGAACTTGGGGAAAATAATTAATGAAATACGAGAATTAAGAAACAAAAAAACCATGACCAAGTTCCTAAAGTTTCCGCAGAAGTGATTTATTGGCACTTAACTTCGCTGGATGGATAAGGGCGAGCCAACAGTAATCTCTCACACTTAATTTTGTACTGCCTACCAAGACTCTGGGGTAGAACTAAAAGTTAAAATGAAATTCATGCTAATCTTTATTAGAATTTTAATTGTTGCTAAAATATTTATTAATGAGCACTTGTTAATATAACTTTCTTGTTTGATTTTAATGCATTTATCAGATACATTTTATTACGTAGGTATTTTTTTAGGTAAAGTGAACACAATATAATATTATTGTCATATAGGTATGTATATATATAAATATAAATATTTATAAATGCATTAACATTGTAATTTACAAGTGCAATAAAGAATATATATATAATATATATATATTTTCTTTTTGCCGTATGGTCCCAGCATAGAATAGGTTTTACCCCTTCCTTTCCCGTGGGTGTCGTAAGAGGCGACTGAGGGAACTTAATGATCCTGAGATCAGCAGCAATGTCGCTCTGAGAACATCACCAAAACTTAACTGCGGTTGCTAATCCGCCTGCCAAGCGTGGCAACTACTGGCATACCCCCCTTTTAAGAAAGACCTATGTTCAGCAGTAGACAGTAGAGGACTAATATGATGATAAATAATTTCTTAAATGTTGACAACGACTTAAAGTTTCGTGAAAACAATCGTTCATGTTTCTATTTTTGTTATTCTTTCAAGAATAATTTATAAGTTCTTTCACCCGAAATCTAAAATAATGAATATTTTACACCACAGAGAATTCTAACGAATTGAAAGACTTTTGTTATTTCCACATATTTCCTAACGAAATAAATATTTTCTTATTTTGATGCAGACACTTACATATGTTTATTATTTCCATATATTCATGGTATTTTTATTTATTTCCTTTGTCTTAGGTAACTGTATCAACAGTAAACATGCTCACAACAGTTCTAAATGACAGTCCTATTTTCCCCGAGAATGAGGAAGAGCAAGCTGATTTATCTGCACCATTACTAATGGATAGCCCCCAGGTAAAAATGTTATCAAATCTTATAAATAGAAGGTACATTATGCACATCAGAAATGAAAATACATCTAAAACAATTTATACGACACCGTACTAGACATAGAATATATAATTAATAATAATTAATTTGCTGTTACAGTGCGTCCTTTTCGGTACATTCATGATATGGTTCGCATCGATCACTATAAATCTTGGGCCCACGTTCTTATCGGGGGCTTTAGCTGCCAGTGCCGGATCTTACAATTCTTACGGCCCAGCTCCGTCCTGTCCTTTAGTTCGAGGACCCTTCAGGCATTATGTCCTTAATGCCCTCTGGATAGGCGTTAACGCCGTCTGCGTTGGGTTGACACTTTTCCATTTGAAGAAACTTCACCGAGATTTAACCAAGGTTTGTAGTGCTTACACTATAATTGTATAACAAATATGACCATATACAGATGGCATGGAGAGGTTTAAAATGGTTAATAGCATACATCGCTTATGTTTTGCCTTATCATTGCCATTGTCACTTTGAGTTGCACCAAACTTCTCCATGATCATTTGTTACATGCTACTGTAATCGTAAAATCATTCCATCCACCGCTTTATTCGAGTTGAAACTAGCAATAGCAGTTAATTTGAATGACACAAAAGTTTTGTAGTGCATTGCTAGTCCACAGTTGCGAGAGACACATATTGTGTCCAAAACTCGTTGAAAATCACGAAGTCATCCACATAATTTGAATTTGCTGCAACATTGTGCATACATCTTACTTTGACCGAACTAAGAGTTTCTCTTGGTACATTGCCAATATTTTTCGCAGCATTCTGAATATAAGATTTAAATTTTCGTGATTGAAGATATTTGAAATGGGTTCGCTGCGTTTAAGAATCGAGCTATTGAGATTTACTAGTCCAATGGCGGTCAACGCTAAGGGGTTATCGATAATTTAAATCTTATCGCATGCAGGCTAACGTAGAGGCAGTTCGAGTAGCTGGTTTAGTGACAACACTTGTCAGCATGGCAGGAGACAACAGACGTATGGACTCTCTGCCTAACAGCGTTGGACCTAGGGTAAGTATTGTTTTGCATGCTAGCAAGTACCTGTAGCAATTATAAAGTAGACACTTTTCCGAATGCATTTAGTGGCATGTACATACTTTCATCCTTCAAAGTCACAATTTGTATTAGTTACACCTATCCTTTAACTTAGATTAATTAAACAAACATATAAAAAAGTAGTATAAATTTATTTATTACTAAAACTCCAATTAAAAATAAATTAATAACAACTTTTTCCTATTTTATTCTACCTTTTGCTAATGCTTTTTGACAACTCTTCCGTAAAATCAAAATAAATGCTAACCCTAAAAAAACTATAAACTTTAGCAATTTTATAAAATTTTTTATTTGTTTTTCTTCTTCTAGTATCAATTTCTTTTTCCTGATACTTTGATAATGCTTTTTATATTTTCTAGACAGTAGATGGGGCATTGGCTGATGGGCAATGCAGACCCAGTGGGAGTGCGAACTTGCCTTTAGGTGGAGGACGTCGACTACGAGGGTACTTAGCTCGCGTAGAACGAGAAGGAGTACGCCGTGTACGCATGTTTCTCGTCATCACTGCAGCTTATGTCCTATTCTGGGGACCACTGTTCATCATTACACTTTTACATCATCCTGCATTGACGTCACATATAGCATACGAAGTGAGTTCATATAAATTTTGTACAAGTCTCTTATTTTTTGTGCTAAGATGTATAAACAAGCTGACAATCCTCAACAAAATCAACTCAACTAAAACAGATTTTTTTAGATATTAAACTTACCTAATTCTAAGATGAAGCAGTATTACAGTTATGTTATCGTATTTCCATCTAAAGGTTTAGAATTAGAAAAGTGGCAATGTACGAGGCATCACGAATATAGTATAATATTTTGTTATATTTATAACGAGGTTAGCTGGATCATCATTATTAAAAATATTCATTGTTAAAGATACTGAACAGTGTCTTATGTGAATTGCTATAAGTTACAACTTTGAAACACTAGCTACGAGTACATCCATTTACTCCTAAATAAGTATTCGAGAGTTTATATCTCCAACTGTTTTTATTTTTTAATTAAAAATATTTATTTCTTTAACAGATGTACTTCCAAATTACACTGCACATTTCTTACGTGCATGCGGCAGTGAACCCTCTTCTATTTATGGCTCTTCATCGAGCTCTACGTCGCGCAGCATTGCAACTGTGCTGCGGTTGCTGTGTTCACTGGAGCCAGTTTGTACTGGCCCTTACTGCAGCTGGTGAGTGCTAATAATAATTTATAAATCAACCTTAACAAAATAGTTCAACCTCATCAGTTTTCGTAGCTTGCAGTTATAAGTCTCAGCTAACTTTTATGCATTAGTTATGTTACATGATGTTTTAGTTAATCTTTAATTACCCTTATATTAATTCCACAGCAATTTAGTTACGTTTCAAGTTTATTTTTCTAATACTAATGTCTTAAATTACTGTACGAGTACTTATCTATGTTAATTAACAAACAATTTACTCGAATAGTAATTTGCTTTCTATTTGCAGCTCAATCACCACTAGCTCCATCATCGTTCTCTCCAGCTGCAGCATCACCAGAACCGCCTCCCGCGCCGCCCCCACCCATGGCGCCTCCCGCCCCATCAGTCCCCGCTCCTCCTGCTCCACCGACGCCTCACACGATGATGGTAATTACTTCTTATATGTAAGTGTTGACACCGTAATACGTGGTTTACATCACTCGCACAGCCCCGCACGTATACCCCTTAGCATCCTTCGCGTCTCGTAGAACAGGTTGCATGTTAATTTTAATGAGTCCTCAAATTTCCGTCTTGCGTGATAGTGGCCCTTTAGCGATCGTATAGCTGCCCTACTCTAAGTTAAATAATTCAAACTCTCGATCTCAGAGTTGGGAAGTTGAGGACTGTGATGCTGAGAGTATGTCGAGTGCGCGTGTGCAGGGAGACGAGGATATGATGGCCGAGTCGTGGAGCGGCAGCGTGCGGCGGCCGCCGCGCTCGCCTAGTCCGCTGCTGCCCGCCATCTGAGCTTCAACCGCTCGCTTCTCGCCTCCTCGCGTCCAGGCAACGCCCGTCACATATCCAACAAACAGCAGCTAAATTCCTTTATACCAAGATACTTGTGTATATAAAACTAATAGAACGTTTATCGAATTGTACATTTGTATCGTAGTGAGATATTCTTATAGCGTTTGTGTAGTTTGTGTAGATAGGTACAAATGTCGTGTGGTATACTTATTTAATTGTTAGATAATAATTGTACATGTTGTAAAGATCTTATATTAATGTATTGTACAGAATTAAAAAAGCTCAATTCTAAACAAACTACATACTTCTTAGCGAAACCTTTTCGGCACTATTTTTAATAGTCTGTGGTGAATGCAGGATATAGTATCTAAAGTATTTTTATTGATATGAAATTTATTGTAAATGATATCAATATGAAACACCAAATTACGATTAATAGGTATAAATTAAATATTATGTGTAGACCAAAGTGTTTATGATCTCCAAATATGTGTATTTAAATAATTTGTAATGACTTTATATGACTGTATTTAATCTTTTCCTTTCATATCTTATATACATTTTGAAACTGGCATGTAATGGCATATATGACTTTATATAGCAAAACTAGAATTTTTAGAAAAGACGTACGTAAGAATAGGCGCTTCATTAAAACTTTTCGTACGAAATCATTATGTTCTTTTAGAACAAACTTATTACTTTTTCACACAAACTCGTTAAAACATTTTCGTACGAACTCATTCGTATACATGTAAGAAGTAAGTTCGTTTATTATAAACTCATATGTATACATGCAATATGTCACTAAGTTTATATGCCTGGAACACTTAAATTATCTATGAAGACTGAAATTGTTTACTTTGTGTCACGTGCTTTTTACAACTTCTATCTAGGTATTGTATATAAGACTAATCGATTGTAAAAAAAAAACTTTTGAGTTTTATTTATAAATTTATAAATACTGTCACTATAATATTACATGTTTAGAAAAGGATGTTGTTCCTCAAAGTTTAGCACTGTAGTACTTTCAAAGTATACACTTGTAATTATTAACATCAGATTACTAATTACAACTTAGTTATCCAAAACATCAATTATACATAGATACATAACTAGCCGTATTTCGCGGCTTTACCCGTGGTCGTACCGTGATGTTTAATAGCCTATAATCTTCCTTACGAAATGAGCTATCAAATGTAAAAAATAATTTTTCAAATCCGACTGGTAGTTCAAGAAATTAATACACTGATACCAACAAACTTTCTGCTTTATATATTAGATATATATATACATAATATTCATATGTAATATTATACATCCTGTGATTTGACCAACAATGGTAGGTATTATTGGTCATTATAAAAAACGAAAAGCCACAGGAGCTGAAATATGTATTATAGCATATACGTCTATATATCCTTCTATACTACCTATCTAATATATTTAATTACATAACATACAATATACAGGGCTAGTCGTAAAGTGTAAGGAACCCGAAGTTCAGTAACAGTATTAATAAAACTTAACTACTTTTCCCAGGGAATGTAGTCCGTGTGAAAATAATTTTGAACATTTGTTAGAAAGTGCGGTTATGAGACTGATTTGGTGAAGTATACGAAAAGTGTCTGTCTTCACGCTAAGATCCTTACGAGGTAAAAAGATTTACCAATTTGATTGCAGATCCCTTAAAGGAATAAAAAAATCCATTGATATTGTAGGATTGAAAGAATTTCGAAGCGGGCGGGTTTTGAATCGACGCGGTTTAGTTAGGTAAGTATAGGTAGGTACCTAATTAATTTCTTCGGGAAAAATAGTGGAGTTTTATTATTACTGCTATTAGGTTAAGTGTGTGTCTGTAAACTTTGAAAAATTATTATATATCAAAATAACAATTATGTTGTAAAGAATAACTGGCTGTAAATTTAAAGATATGTTCTCCATAAAATTATTTCAAATACATAGCATAAATCATACGTCTTATAATATATTTAAGTAAAATGTACCTACTCTAACCTACTCTACAATCCCTTTATAATAAAGGAGGTGAAATATCGTCCCTTTTTTTATCACAAACATGTTTCTTATTGTATACAATTTTACGTACCCGTAGTTAGATTTATTTTATTGGTGTATTTAATATAAAAATTGTATCATAAGTAAATATATCGAATAAAAACATTATAATAATAACGAGGAAAATAAAATCCCGTTCTCATGGAATATATTAAAAAGAAATGGATAAATGAATATAATAAAATGGTTTATTAAATGTTTGATTTGTTTTTATGAATAATGTGCTTAATATTATTTTCCTGATGTACCTACCCAATATATACCTTTTAAAAATACCTATATAATAAAAAAAAAACAAAATAATTCAAACTACTAGTTTTTATCCGCGACTTCGTTTGCGTATATATACGTGTATATCAAGTTTCGTGAAGATTGTTTGTGCCATTATAGGGGCAAGAGGTAACAAAAAAGCTCACTTGAGATGACCTCTGTGGCTTAACATTAAGGACGTTGCTTTGCGTAATGAGGTCCCAGATTCGATTACTGGTCGAATCAATGTAGAGAATGAACTTTTCTAAATTAGTTCGGTTTTGTTTTCTGGGTTGTACACGCAAATTGTTCATTGCTTTTTACCACACTTGTATCATAATATAAACACTAACTTCATGACCAGGTGATTGGTGTGATAGTGATGGCACTAATTACATTACTTATTAGTATTTATAATAATAGCATGGATTTCATAGAAAATAAGCAGACTACCGGAAATTCAAGTTTTCATGTCAACAACAAATTTTACATTACTAGATTATATATTCGACACAATTTATGTAGAAAGTATGCAAGCAGATTGTATCTGAATTTGGTAAGGTTATACAGCTAATAAAACTAATGGACGTATCTTGATGAATTTGATTTGTACGCACTAGTCAAAAGGTAGATGCATCTTTATATATCTGTCCCTCTCTCACGCATTGGCGATGTCATAAATACAACGAACAACACATTATGTGAATTATGCACTCCATGTATTTTATTCCGAAATCTTTGGTATACACAACTAGTACAATAATGAAGATTGACAGACATATTCACAAGAGCGAAATAAATAAGGGATGACTTTTAGTGAAACGGTTCTAACCTTTCATTAGTCTTGTCGATCGAGGACGCGATAAACGAGTATCACTTAGCTAAGTAAACGCTGCAAAGTAATGGTATCGGCGTTTCGATCAGTAACTAAGATGAAAAATATATAGATTGGTAGTGTAAAAAAAAAAACAATTACAGAGTTACAGTAAAATAGACAAGCAGGTCATTTAGGTACACGCTAGATAGCTTGAATAGTATTGGCGAAAGCGATGAACAAAAAATTCTGTTTATTTTACGTTTTGAACATAAGATAATGTTTTGAAATGTAAATCATATTTAAGTTGCAGGATATTTGGTTATAGCCACGGGATATAAATATGAATCAGAAGAAAGCGATAGGAGAGCACATTTTGCACATAAGTACGCTTTATACAATAGTACAGTTTAATACACATCTAATTGTACTTCAGGTTGTCTCTTTATACTACTTTTTGTGAAGAGAAATCATTCATTCATTCATTCAATTATATAATTTTCTACTAACCGTATTGCAGTTGTAAAATACAAAATGTACATGGCAAAATACTGATATATTATTATTATTAAATTACTCCTTATCTTTATATAAAATGTATTTACTTCTGACATGATACGAATACGACATTAACGTAATAAAATGTGTATAGTAAGAAATTTATTAAATTTAGTAGACCCGCGTTCGATTCTTCCAATCCTGATTTCAGAAGTAAATTTGATTGTACTGCACTTATTTATTTATATAGACAATAACCAATGCTGTTTATATTATAAATGTGAATATTTCTGAACACGTGTAAAAGGTTGAATGGAGATAAATTAAATTTGGTCACAAAATAGTCCATATCTTAGATTAACAGGATACTCGTTGTCATACATTACGAGCAAAACCTTGAGTTAGACATAATAAATATGAATCATCCATATTGAACACGAAATCCGAGAACAGTTGTATTTCACGGTACAGTTTTATTCAAATAGTAAAGAGTATGTTTAACATAAACTATTTTTCCTACATAGAATGGCCCACCCCTTTCTTGCCCGTGTGTCGTAAGATGCAACTAAGAGAATTTGAGATCGAGGGATAGGCAGCAGCCTAACTGCGTTTGTCATCCCACCTACCAAGTGTGGCAACTACTAGCAAAACCCCTTAAGGATGAGGCCTATGTTCAGTAGTGGACAGTTAACGGCTGATATAAAAATGATGATAATTTTATTAAATACTTTCCATATGTATAAGTTACAGATTATTTTATTATAAATTCACTCAAACTTATTTGGCTTTGAACAAGACAAAATATATTATACATATGTAGAGAATACATAATTAAAACATTATTATTTTATTTATCGCCTTATGCATTGTTAGTTTTATAATAGACTTAAATATGATACTCGTTCTGTCATTATTTAAAGATGACCTTAACATTGATTAATATTCTTGCCTACAAGCGGTCATGGTATTGTAGCATATATGGTATATTATATTCAGAACATATTTGTAGACACGAAAATATAGAAAAAAAAACTATATAAAAAGAAATTTAATCCACGCGAAGTGGCGAGCTAAAACTAAATTGAAACCTATACAGTACGCAGAACAGTGCCAATTTCTGACACAAATGCCTTCGCCAAGCAATTTGTTACAAATTACATTTACATTACACATACATTTCCTAGTGTTTCTAGTTTATACTTCACAATGTAACAACACTACGTACAATAAAGTACGATAATATGGTTAACATATGAATATTTAACATATTATCGTACTTTTCACTTTAATAAGTACTCACAACAAACAAAGCAACATATTTACATATTTTTGAATATGTACATAATTATAATCTCATTATAATATAATATTCTTAATTGTTTTCCTCGATCTATTTAATTTTATTATTTGTAACTTTATTTACTTAACTGATTTTTTTAATTTTCTACATTTTGTAATGCAAATAAAGTCATTTATTCATTCCACTTGCGCGCCTGTTAGAATATGTTGATATTTATCATAGGTGGCTGATGAAAAACTAATTAAACTCCAATACATAACAGGCAATTATAATTTCCATACATTTCAAATTATTTATAACACTGGAGTATCAATAATATAATCTTAATCACTAAATAAATTTTGTAATTTAAATTATAACAAGTAATGACTAATGAATTTTTTATGCAACTTAGAATAACAAACAAGCTGACGGTCCACCTGTTGAAAAGTGGTAACCGTCGCCTATAGACACGAGCAGTACCATGAACACAACAGAGTATACTGTTTCATTCATACTACCCATGATACCCTCCATGCGTTGCCGTTCCTGAGAACTCAGGTGTTATACCTTTGTACTTTGTAAATTCACTGCCATGTCCCATCCATCAAACCAAACACAGCCATGCAAACACGACTGCTTTACGGTAGAAACACGAATGGGACAAAGGTGCTGAAGCAAACGACTTTTGTACAAAGTCTCCCTCTGGTATTACTGTGAATTGGATGCTTAAATGAATAGCTATAACGGTTTATTTTCCCCAACCATTGATCATTTGTAATTCACGACTGATTGCAAAACAGACAGTTAAATTTATCACCTAATGGGCTAAAGCTATTTCCTAATTGGTCTTCTAGGACAGAGATAAAACACCTGTGGGAGTCATCCTTATCCTTTTTGCTCGATCGCTCATGTCCAAAGATTGCTACTATAAACGATTCTCCTCTATTTAATACTATCTTGCGCAGTATACATACAAAATCGTGGACACACGCACCGTTACTAGATTGGGTAGTTTTTTCGCAAATTGGAGTAAAAAATTTTGGTAAAATATTTGGTGCATAGAGAAATTTTGGATAAGGTTTTTTTTGACAAATTTTCGTATTTGTAAACAGTACTAATAAAAATTTCAACCATCAAACATCGTCATAAGTTTATATTATATCAATTATTATAAATTATATACATATGTTTATATCCATGAAATAAATAATATACTATATAAGTGAATAAATATAAATAATTAACATTATGTCACAAAAAAACTATAAAATTATTGTATAATTTATTAATTTATTTATTCCATTGCAATTATAAATACAAAAAAATTTACCAATAAAGGAAACAGAAGGTAAGAGATGCGTAGACGACGGCCTTTTTTGTCGTTTCATTTGTGGTTACACAGCAATACATAAAGAAAATCGACACATATTTGTGATTGGATAAAACTAAAAGAAATATATCGATTTGGAATTTTTTTTTTTATATTTGGGTGAAAAAAAATAGCATTTAGTGACCCTCTCACACCACAAATTAATCCTTTATAGCATCAAAGCATATCGTCATGTCCTACATCTCTTTTTAATATATGAAAATTAAATGATAAACCGGCGCTTAACACTTGCAATTAATATATGCTGGTGATGCACCAGTGAGGAGTGATAGATGAAAATGAAGTCAGCTCGGTTGACCTCTGTTACTAATAATTCCTTTCATCTCACGTTCTCTAGATAATGTACCCCCTACATATCACAATATGAATACGAGATTATCAAGACCAATGGTCCCTAAACTTTTAAGACAACAGAACCTTACTAAATACATTTTATTTTATATATATATATTATTCATATCATATATATATATCAATAACGCTGTAGTTTTAATAAGAACAAAAACTTTCATTACAAATATTTTAAAAGTAAAACACTGTATTCTTGACTTTAACTTTTATATATATCATTACTAAATAATATTTGTACTTAACTGGAACCCACTTTAGTAATCATCGCTGCTCTAGACTAGGTGAACGAATAATATATTCGAGAAAAGGTATTTTTGCTGATAATTCAGTTGAAAGTCCAATGAAAATCCATCCAATGTATGACATATCGCGCAGACGCGATGTCAAGTTAAATTTTCATTAGGCGCTTGATATACGCATCGCGTTAACCTCACGTCACCGCGTTCAATTACAAGAAGCTGTCACGTGTTTTGCAAGTGTGCTATATGGAAATCGGAAATACTTTACAAATCGAGGTGAAACATTTACATCGGAAAAGTCACATACAGGTTTAAAAAAATAACAACTCGAAACTGTTCTATTGAAACCGTAAGAACGGAACGTGTTGGTGCATTCGGGAGACTTATCGGTGGTCTACTTGAGGCGGAGG